GTTTTGAGACAAAAAGGACACAAGATGGATAAAAAGGTGTGCTCCTCCACGGACACAATATTGGAAATCAATTCTGGTCATGAAATGACTCAGCAGAAGAAGATAAGTGACCCAGTTCACGTCGATATTTATGAGACTGCTCTTCTGAAACATGTGGTCACAGATGAGCGGAGCCGCATCATTTCCTCATACTCCTCCCTTTTATTGTCATGTTCACGGAGTTTGTTTTTGCAGGTTGCAGTGGGTTTAAATATGTTCATTTAAATGATTTATTTTAAAAGGAGCAAGATGAAGTCAAAGCTACTTTCACAGACATCTTGTTTTTTGTTTTTTTTATCATCCATTCAAAGATAATGTAGCTGGTAATGATCAGATGGAGATACCTGCAGATGCACAGCCAGTAAAGGGGTGGTGGGGGGTGGATGGAGACGTGTCACATCAGATCTGTGTCCAAACATCTTCCAAGAAACATCAGAGCAGCCCCAGTCTTTATTGATTTCTTCAGACCTCATGTCTGTTCCACTCATCTGCACGCTCACTAATGCATACCTCCATTTTTTATTTATGGACTCACGTTGCTGGGGTTTAATTTTTCTACTCGTTAACTTGTTCCATTTCTGTGTGGGTCAAGGTGGTGTCACATACACAGATCTGATCCAAACTTGAATAACTTAAAGCAGGGGTGTCCAAACTTTTTCATATGTGGGCCAAAACTATCCAGATGAAAGGACTCATGGGCCACAAAAATGTGAATTTAACTCAACGTGAACAACATGTTGGAGAAAGAGCAAAAGTTTACTAATGTTGGTGGAGAAAGAGTTTTAAATTGTTGTAGATCCAAAACATTAGAAGCCTCATAAACACGAAACTTGTATATTTCTTTTAAATAAAAATTATTTGATATGTTGGGTCTGTATTTGTTGTTTTCTTGTGTTTGGAAAGTTCATTTTAGTCTGTTCTCAGCAACAAAAGTGTAATTTCAGTAATTGTCCTTTTAAAAAGGTGGTCGATCAGCATTTTGGACCATGGACGGACTAAAAGGCTGATGGAAGTTCTGAAAAACCATCCAGCTGTCAGTCGCTACAACAGATCATAGACAGAGTTGATCAACTCGTATGCAGATGACACCACGTTATATTCACTTAAAATGTCCAATTTCCATTTTGATTATTTTATCAACTGCAACATTTATCCAAGAATCATTATTCAAAAATCTCCTTTCTGGTAGAAATCGGAGGAGGTGTTTGGTGTTTTGTGCCATGAAGTGAAAATAGATTATAGCCAAAGGTTTGTATTTTGTTTAATATTGCTCATTTTGAGGACCATTTTAATCCATTTTGCTGTTAAACCTAAACATTATATCAAAAAAGGATTATCAACTAATTTGCAGAAAGTCTGCATCAACCTCTTAAGCCTGCTGGGAAAAAAAAAGATGCCATTCTTAAACTGCAGTTGTGGGCCGCACAACATCTCTCCAAGGACCTCAAATGGCCCTCGGGCCACACTTTGGACATCAGTGACTTAAAGTTAACTAAAGAGTTGATTACATCTGTTTGGGTGATGATGAACCTGTGGGTTAAATGTCTGTAAGTGGGCTGGATGATCTTAATAATAACATTAATTATGAATATATATTTATTTTATGTTAGGCATAAAGAATTAAATATGCTGAGATTTATTGCAAAATTCAAGCTAAAGCCTTTAAGTGTTCTGTGCATCGCTGGTTCGTTCGAATAGTTTCATTACAATCCATCCGGTGGTTCATTTTGATTGTTTGCCTTTTATGGCAGGGACGGTAATAATGACAGAAAAAATAAAACTTAAAGTTGAATTCTTCTCTTGAGAGACAATAAAATCATCTTGTTTCTCAGTTTGAATAAAAGTTCATCCTCATTAAATTGACGTATGATGTTTGGTTTATTACTTGAATATCAAAGTTGATGTCAACGTGCAGCTATTTTTGGCTTTTGGGAAATGGTTCAGCGCAGGCAGACATAACAGGAAACAACTGGGATATTACTTGACGGTTCTTGAATGACTGTACTTTCTGTCCCGAGCATCCGTGAGCTCACTCTAAAAACATAACTTCCATTAAAGCAACAAAACACAAACTGAATTCAAACTCCTCTCCAGAAGCACATGCCCTAAATGGGATTCAGTGCAGGAAAAGGCTTCACTTCCTTCGTCAAATGTAATCAGCAGGGATGTCTGCGTGTCTGAGGGGGTAATGGGGCTCGTTTTCATGGAGCCTGCCCTCCCCAGGACAAAGCCTGCTCATGTTTCTGCAATTTAGCTGACCCAGTCTCTGAGCATTAGTGTGGCTGGATGCTCCACAACACACAGAGAAACAGGAGCATGAGTGACATCATTTTTGCTTTGAGAGGATCTGCACGGCAAAGAAGTATGATGTCAGTTTGGCCTAGAGGCCTCGCTCACATGCACACACACACACACATACACACACACACACACCAAATACTGGTCCTGTGAATGCTATAACTGCTTTAACTCAAATAGTCATAAAAAATTACAGTTCAGCTATTGTGAAGCAGGGCTCTATGTGAAGGTCGTGAACAAATAACATCTTATCTGTTGCAGATAGCTCTTTGAATTGTCTCACGTTCAAGAAATAGAAACTAATTCTGACCAGACTGATGAGCTAATGGCTAGTCACACCAGGGCCAGCACCAAAGTGGGCTGTTGCTGTCTAAAGCGCGTTGGTGTAAATACTATTTTATACACGCTTACATCGTTTTCAGTTTCACGTTGCAGGTTTTTATGCTGTTACTATTATTATATTCCTACTGGAAGTGGCATGTGTGTAACAGCAACACCTGGATGATGCAACAACAGCGAAGGGAAGGTTTAGATAACGGTGTTCGCTTGAACCAGTGTGAAACCTCAGAACCTCTTTTTAAAAGATCCAAACTTTTACTTTAAGCTTACGCATTAAGGAAGTGTGCTGAACTATATACCGTATTTTTCGCCGTACACATCACACCACCCTATAAATCGCATCAGTCCATATGGCTAATAAAGTGGAAAAATCCATAAAGAAGTCGCTTCGCCGTATATGTTGCAGCTATTATGAGTCACTGCTGACAACCTGGAAATATGGGCAATTATTTGTTCTCTCGAAATTATAACAAAGATGTGTGTCAGTTTAACTTTTTCTTAATAAATGCACTTTGACGGTCAAATCAGCTGCATTTTCAAAAGCCGATACGCGGAAGTAGGAGCGTGCACGGTAGGACTCGCTGTCTTTTCTTTGAAATGTAACAAGATAACCACCTAAAACAATTATTTGTTTGCTCGACTTTATAACAAAGGTGTGTCTCAGTTGAACTTTTACTTAATAAATGCACTTCAATGGTCAAATCAGCTGCATTTCATCAGCGGTGCAGTGATACAGGCGAGCTGGACAAAAGTGGCAGGGTATGGCAAGCTGATTGCGCCATTAATAGCCACTTTTACCTATTACATGACACAACAGCATGCCATACACCTCAAGTGCCATCTAGCAGCTGAAAATGGTAGTGTCCAATATCTTCAATGTCAGAATGAATGAAAATGGTCATATCTCAGCATAAAATTGGTTTATAATTATGAGAAAAAAATCATAAATACGTCGCTTCAGCATATAAATTGCAGGGCATGCAAATTGTGCAAAAAAAAAAAAACGTGACTTATAGGGTGAAAAATACGGTATGTGCAATATGCTGCTCCATCAGTTTCAGTATTTCAGTGTGTGGGTGTGCGTAAGCTGGAAAATCCCTGACATCAGTCCACAGCACGTCTATCTGAGAGCAAACACAACTTTTTTTTCTGCCACCAAAACTTTAAGCTTTAAGAAAAAAAATGCAAGAAATGTGAAAAAAAAAAAAAAACATTATACCTGCCACACTAAAGTGATTAATTGGAGCTTTAAAGGACAGTCAGTTCCTCAGGGAAACTCATAAAATTCTTACACCTTCCCACACACACCTGTTTTTCAGGTCAATCCAACAACAAATACCAGAATTTTACTCATCGTGCAGACACGATTCTCTTACCCTGTTTCAAACCATTACTGCTCTCAGATCTAATAATGAAAGTACACTCTGTTCACCTTTGTTACTCTTTGTTTTCTGTGGCAGGTGTGACCTTTTCAGAACCAGATTGAATGTTCACATATAAACCGTTGCAAAGTCACATCTCTCTGTCAAATTAGATCCTTCTTTCTTTTAGTTTCGTGTGCTTCAAATTTCAACTTCGTGCCTGCTGTCAGTTTCAATCACTTGTAATTAGTTTTAAATACAGTCAGAGAAACGTACAGTTTAAAGAGAGGGAGATGCCAAAGCTTGGTGGTAGAAAGGTGAGTCTTTTTCACATTTATGTAATGGTAATTGCTTTTTAGGTGACGAGAAACACCAACTAATCTGTCAAAGACACGGGTCATTGTGTTGGTTTTGATCCCCTCTGTGTGTTTCTGAGAGGGTTGTATCTGCAGGCATGTCAGCACTGATGCTATCAACAAACTGCGCTGGAGCTGCAGTCACAAACAAAAGAAATGTTTCCCCAAAAAAGGCTGTTAAGTAAATCTTTTCCAGCAGGGGACCTGTTAAAGCACATTTTAAAGATAAATCAAGAATCTTAGAGGCATTAAATCAAAAAACTGATGTGTCATCCAGTTCTATTTCCCTGAGTCACCCTCTCCCACCCATAACGGGATCGGTTCATCCTTCTGCCAGGAACCAGATCAGGCAGGGAGCAGGACATGAGCAGGGGACCGTTTTTGTTACGAGCTCAGGTCCTCACCATGAATCTTCCTGTTTAATGTTTGTGTTTTTCTGTAAATTCCTGGAGTGCACGCCTCCCATCCTTAACTAGTCCCCTCAGAGAAAATGCTAAAGTCATGCAGTACTTTATCTGAACTCGAACTAGTCCCCACACTGGTCTGAAGTTGAGCCAGCTGGTGACATGTCAACATGAAGCAGGAGGAGATGATGACTTGGCTTTACCGTTGCAGAACTGCAGCAGTGATGAGGTGTCATACAGGCTGCTGTAGCTGGAAAACCCGTCCTCCATTCTGACCTCCTCCACTCCTCTTCTGCTCCTTCTCTCCCCTGCTGACTCCTCTTGGAGAGTTTATCCTTCACAGGGCGCTCCCTCCATTCACTCCGCACGGGTCAGACTCCCTGGGTGAGTCACCATGGCAACCCATTCACTTCGATTATGTCATATGAACTCTCTTCTTCTTTAAAAAAAAAAAACACCCACTCTCACCAAAAAGTCCTGAAGTCCAGCAGAGAGAAAGCTGGAATAAACCACCAGAGTCTCACAGGAGGAGGAGGATGCTCCTCGTTTCTCCTCCCTCTGTTCTCCTCCTGGTTGCAGCTGCGTGTCTTTGGATCTCCGACTGGGAAAACAGCTTTAAGAGAGCTGACAGCAGCCAGCTGGGTGTGTGTTTGTGTCAAAGGCTGTGGGAGTGTTTAGATTATGCTGGGGACAGCCCAGTCTCGCTCCATGTCACACAGTGTGGACGAGTCAGAGCGCAGGGGGGGCTGAGCCTGCCTCAAAGATCCTCCTCCCTACTTACAGAGGAGGAAAATTAAATGATGTGGCAAGAAACAAAAGATGAAAACAATGGAACGGGTTAAAAATAAGAAAAACATGTCAAAAGCAGGAGCTCAACGAAGGGGTGGAAAATGCACTAGAAATGAGAAAGAAGAAAAATCCAGACCGCGTCCTTAAATAAAAACATAAAACTAAAAATTTGTGAGGATCAATGAGTTTGATTACCTACAGAATCAGAAGAAGAGACTGAAAATGATGGTGACCTCCATGGAAAAGCGGTTTGTGATGCAGAAGCTCAACAGTTTTGATGTCTTGATGGGATTTGCATGGACAGGATTTCTGAGTTCTCTTACTCGTTCTCTTTTATTGCATTTAATTTTATATTTCCACCTGAACACCATATTTGTTAACCTTCGCAGACTACAACCAGCATCATGCAGGTCAGTCATGTGACTCAAGCTAATATATCTGGAAAACTATAGTGAACTCATTTAAACTGCACTTTTGCTATTGCTCAGGATAACCTTTATGTGTTTTTACAGTTTGAAATGAGTACCCTTTTTTAAATTAATTTCTCCGATGCAATGTAAAACAATCTATTTTAATGCTGAGACTAAAATTATTATAAAACTTGTTTAATTTCATCAAAATGATTTTAAATTGCCAGTTTTTTTTTTACAACAATACGACCAAAATCCATGCATTCAAAGAACCATTTGTAAAAAACACAAACAAAAATAATTAAATCTCAGTTTTTCTCTTTATAAAATCATCAAGAAGTGTCAAAGCCCTAAAACTGATGAGATGCTTATATGGTGGGGAACTAAAAAAACACCTACAGCTTATGAACTTGCAACTCTTGTGCAGTTTAAAGCTTGGATCTTCAAACTCCCCTGGTTAAACTGATAAAGCTCCTTGATGGGACGTTAAACGTCTTCAACTCCAGAATAGAGGTCCAGCTGCTTGGTTTGTAAAACTTTTAGGATAATTTGACTTTTGGAAGGTAAAAAAAAAAAACCTTGTGGTGTTGCTGCACACAACATGTAAATAGGTTGACTTGGAGTGATCTGGACATAAAATCCAGATCCACGGACAAAGGCTGCAAAGATAAATCACAGGTTGGCACAAAAAGGTAGGACTCATGTTTGTAAGAACTTTTCATATAAGAAGTCCGTGAGGCATTTGGTACTGAAGATCCTCCATCTATCCACTTTCTTCATTTGTTTGATCTGGGATGCAGAGAGCTGGTGCACAGGTCAAACTGCACAATCATGTGAAGAAAAGTGTTTAAGTTGGCCTATGATGCATCGCTTTTTGAAACTCTTTTGTAAGAGCTGAGTACTGTCAGATACATGAAGATGCATCAGCTGCTCTCCTGCTCTCTGTTACAACATGAAGCTAAACGGCAACAAAACATATTGAAGCTGTAGCTCCCAGCTCTCCTGAAGCTACCACCAAACATTATAGCTGAATGTTGCCAGGACTTAACAAGATTATCACTTTGTTCTCTGTTCGGCTGCCTTATCTGCCCGCCTGCATACTGAGGGATCCCTGAAACAAGAGGGGGAGATTGAAAGAGAGGGGGAGGGACCAGAGGAGAGAAAGAAAAGTGCTTGAGAGGCGTGCAGAGAGAAACCCCAAATTAAAAAGTGAGGAGGGAGTTTGGTGAGGGGGGGAATGGGGGTGTGTTTAAGACTTTTGAACGTGCTCAAGAGGCGGGATCTCTGCATAATTTATAAGCTTGAAGGAGAAAAATAATAAGCCCAGGGAAATGAAAGTCTGTGGCCTACATTCATGTTGGAAACACTTCCCCCTTTTCTTCTCAGATCACAAGATGGAGCCAGCAAAAAAACTCATCCAGAGACAGGAACATGAATGGTTTTGTTTGTTCCAGCAGCTCCACGGATCTCCTCTGTAGGTTATCTGTCAATAAATCTTGGTTTCGACGTGGCTCGAAGGTGACGTGGCTTGATTTGAACTTTAGGAAGATGAGATTCACTCAAGCCCATTTAAACAGCTGATTACTTCAAGACACCCCCCATCTGGGCTGCTGATCTCAGAGCTGCCTCTCAGGGAAACAGTGCACTTACTGCACGGTAACACCCAGCCTGCAGCAGACAGGATTATGAAGAAAACAGTGCTCTTTGTAGACACTGCATGTGCACGCTCATTCTGTGTGGCTATAAATAGAGTAAAGATAAAAAACATCCATTCTTATCTGCAACTGACGAGCAGGACTTTCATGCACCATCCTGCTCTGTGCACAGAACTCGCAGCAAACTCCCTTCGTGCTTCGTTTTAAAGTTGTGGAGCCCCGCAGTGTTTTGTCTGAGAGGCTCAGATTATTTTAAATCTCCTCATGCGGCTGATTTGGTGCCTAGATTAGGAACAGGTCTGGTCTTTGTTTGTTTCCCGGTGCTCACGTGAGAGGAGGCAGCTTGAACTGGGATACATATTAACTCTCAAAGCCCCCACCCCACCCCAAAGGGGCTAGTGCCCTTCATCCCACCACCCACTCACATATGGGAGCTAATAATCTCCACCTACATCCTAGTTTGTGGGAGGTGGTGGTTCCACAGCTCCTCCTCAGCACGACTCGACTCAGTTTGGTACACTTCCGAGCCCTTTTCCAATACAGTATCACTTTTTCGTGGAACTGGCACGTTTTTAGTCCCTTGGGGTGCCAAGCGAGCCGAGCCGGCACCAAAACGTGACATCAAACACTGTCTATCACCGATTGGTCAGGGGGCGGAGTCACTAGAGGGGTATGAGAATTTCTCACAACACGAGATTCGCCATTAACGATTACCGGTGTTCGAACTCGAGGAGCGATTGGACCTATTTTTAAAATGTTAAAAACAATAATGACAACACCGTGGTCTAATGCTTACGTGCAGGCGTTTTTTTAATGCTCGGTGGCCGATGACAAAATTCAGAGCATTCAAGATGGAGCTCCGCTGGTTCCTGACTCTTCCCGGTAAATGGTAAATGGTAAATGGACAGTACTTATAGTGCCTTACTATCTTATCGAGATACTTAAAGTACTTTGCACAACAATCTGTGTTTCATTTACCCATTCATACAGACTCTACTAGATCTCTACAAAGCTAATTGAACAAATCATTCTAAAGAGACTAATCAGAGCTTTAACACATTCATACACTGATGGGACACACATCAGAGGAAACGAGGGGTTCAGTGTCTTGCCCAGGGACACTTCGGCATGTGACTGCTGTTGGATTCGAACCCTCGAGCCGACTGCAAAATTATTGGATCTCTCATGAATATTCCCATCAAATATGTTTACAGAAGAGAGTGAATGGTTGTTTGTCTCTATGTGTCCCTGTGATGGACTTGCGACCCGTCCAGGGTGTACCCCGCCCCTCGCACAGTGATTGCTGGACATGGGCACCAGCGACCCACATGACCCAAAATGGAATAAGCGGGTAAAGATAATGGATGGATGTTTAAAGAAGAAATACAGCCTTTAGTTCAACTTTATTCTAACCCACAGATGTACAAATCACAACACAAGAATTAAACTTTAAAACAAAGCTAAAATAAGTTAAAAAAAATCTGTATTCAAGAAACAAAACCATCCATCCTTCCATCCATTATCTTTACCCGTTTATTCCATTCTGGGTCACGGGGGT